TCAAATTATAATTAAGGGAAAAAATGTAAAAAAAAAAAAAAAAGGTAAAGATTTTTATGAACATTATGTGCTAATTATCCTTTTAATAATTTATTTGGGACTCATTTACGTTTTTCAAAAAAACTGAGATTATGTTTGCAATTAGTGTTTTTCTTTTTCCTTTTGTTTTATTTAAAAGGAATGGTATTTTCGTCATTTCACATTTTTTATTGAAAAAATTGATAAAAAAGACCTTTTGAGCAATGAAATGTGGAAATAAAGATGAAAATACTAAAAAATGAAAGGTATGAATTTTTTCCCCAATAACAATGAAAGTTGTGGACATTTTGCGCTAATTACCCTTATTATAATGAAAGTGATTGATATTGATGCATTTGTAAAACGAGTTGGATACACAATATTCAAGTGCTCAAGAGCTTCATGTTTTGTAGTAGTATAAGCTTAACTCGATCATGATCTTGTATTCGATTTTGGACCTTATCTGGTAGCTTCTTTCAAGAAACTCATATTAAACACCAGCTTCTTTAGAAAAAATTAATGTATAGAAACTAAAAATCCTTTTAGGTCTTTTCAAAACCCCTGTTTAGTCCCTTTTTTATAACTCAATTCTTCAAAATCATTTTCGACTATAAATTTTATAAAATTTACAACTTTTCAATCATACGTTTAATCATTTTTCACAAAAACCTACTAAAAAATTATTTCTTAATAAAATTTACTAACAAAAATTCTGGATAGATGAACCCCATCATCTTTTAGAGTAGTCTTCAACCATCCTATGATCCTTAAAAGTTAAAACAGTCTTGAACCATTTCTCATCCACTGAAAATACTCTCGCCCCAATATTGTAACATTGGTTAAGACAACAATTGTGTAGAATAATTATATTAAACATTTATGCCTTAGACCACATATCAACCGATTATAATGTTAGCCCCTATCTTTCATTATCATTAAAGAAGAATTTTTGGATAAAAATGAATTTTGAAATAATAATATTTTCAAAGAATGTGTAATTAAAAAATAAAAAAATTAAAATTACATATGAAATATTTTATTGTAAGAATGTGTATTTAAAAATAAATTTGTGGGAAAAAATCGCAAAAATAGTTGTCAAACATTCTTAACATAATTGTACAAAATATTAGAGTTTCGTAAAAATGATTGTGGACTATATACTGTTCAAGATTGTGTTTGATAGGAATTTTTGGAAGAAGAATTGATTTTTAAATAGTGATATAATGAGAAATGTATGATTGAAAAAAATATATATATATTGATGCGATGAAAAATATTATTTTATTAAAGAATGTGTATGTGAAAATGAGAATTCATTTACTGTAAAAAACGAAAATTTTTACCAAACAGGCTCTAAGCTAAGATAAAAAGGTTACTTATTATTATTTAATTTCAAGAAAATTTACGCTCTATAAAGTCCTTGATTTTCAAGTACATTCGAAAAACACATCAAATTACAACTTCGTTTCAAACTTATCACACAATTTGCAATGAACATAATCGATGACAAATGAGACACATCGACCACACATCGAAAGATAAAAAGTAACGTCTCGACCCCATAAGTAACAATTAAGTGACAACACGTAATTAAAAAATGTCACTTTGAAAGACGATCACTACAAAAATTTTCAATTCTTGATTTCAGCTTTGGTGGCCTTAATGTCCTCCCCAGAACCACCAGCCTCCTCCACAATGCTAATCACTTTAGGCTCCCTTTTCTTTTCCTCAGCCAATTTAGGCACAGTAATCCTCAGCACTCCATTCTCCAACTGCGCCTTTACTTTATCCAAATCAGCATTCATCGGCAATCTAAACCGCCTCCAGAACTTCCCTGTGGATCTCTCCGCCCTGTGCCATTTGTCATCTTTCGCTTCCTCCTCCGTCTTCCTCTCACCGCTAACTCTGAGCACCCTATTCTCTTCAATCTCAATCTTGACATCCTCCTTCTTCATTCCGGGAATGTCGAGGGAGATTATGTGGGCTGCTGGTGTTTCTTTCCAGTCTGTGCGTGCCAGTGCGAGGGACTGATGATCAATGGCACCTTTTGGAATGGTGAGTGGAGAGTGTTCAAGGATCTTGAAAGGATCTTCTTGGGGTAACATTATGTCCCACAATGAGCGGCCGTAGGGGACAATGGCGTGTGCTTGGAATGACAGTAAAACAAGGCTCAAAACAATCCATTTTCCTTTATGATCCATCCTCTGAAGAAGAAGCAGCAAAAACGAAGAGAGATTTGGTTGAAGAAGGATTGAGAATTGATGTTACAATATGAGAAATAAAAGATTTGATTCTTGCTGTGCTGACGAGTAGTAATGGAGGAGTGGAATTTATAGTGTGTGGAGAGGGGTTTCTGGATGATTCTGGTGTGCTGGTTTTGCTTGGAATGTGGACTGTGGCAAAGTGGTACATACTACAAGTTTCTGGAAGACACGGGAAACAAACGTACCTTGCTTGTAGTTAGCAATCCAATCAGAGGAAGCCATGTCATCTACTTACCCTCGAAGCTTTTCTAAAAACGTGAATATTATCAAATTTATCATCTTAATATTAGACTATCATTAAATTACTGATATTCGATTCAATCATGCGGTTAATTCTCGACAAATCTTTATTGCATAAAATACTTTGTTGTAATAGCAATTCGAAGAATTAATGCCGATGTGACATACCTTCACATAATGGGTGCACTTCATATTTTTTTTCCTCAACTTTTGTGCAAGATTACTTAAGATTTTTAATCCTTTAAAGTTTTTGCACATATCAATAATTTGTTTATCAAGTGTCGAGATCTCTACTAGATATAATCTTAGGATAAAACTTACACCATCAATATACTTTGTTCTTCTTATTCAACAAAAGAAAATTAGTTGTTCAGACACGAACATGCATCACAGAATGAGTAAATCGTTATTTGCCTCCGAAAGTCGTTCAATCAACTCTTGAAATTTCATATCAATGACAACATAAAAGAGTTTCGTGCAAAAGTGATGCAAATTTGTCTTCTTTGAGTCTCAGTTGAGAACATAAATATCATACTTTTTATAGAAAATATGATATTTTTCAAAGAAATAAAAATAAATAATTTGATCCATTGTCCCTCATTTTATGAAAATTTTCTTCATATATTTCACTTACCTCATGACATTCACAATATTTTGATTTTTATTTTTAATTAAAAGGGAAAAATAAGTATTATTTTGGTAAAAATGGCAAACTAATGGATTGGAAGAAGAATGGATCAAAAAACCCACTTGTACAGTCATTAGAGGGCTGTAAATTTTA